AGCATCAGGTGCCAGGGCAGCTGAAACTGGGGCAGAGGGCACAGGGGATGTGTCACCACGTTCTCCTCAGCTTACCTCACACATGGCTCTGTCCCAGGCTGGCAGCACAGCCAGCACTCCATGCTGGCTCTGGCAGGTGACAGCAGTGCTGGAACACCCGAATGCCACTCTGTCACTGCCAGGCTGTCACTGCCAGGCTGTTTCCATTCCAGGCCACTTGACTGGCCCTGTACCACCAGCAGGGATGGACACAGCAGGCCCAGGGGGGCTGGGATGTAAAATTCTGCAGGTGGCACCCACAGCTGTCCTTGACCAACACAAGGTGTGACAAGAGGAAAAGGGACACGGGGTCCTACCTTGATGTCATTGTCGATGCCTCCAGAGATGATCTGGTCACTGGTGTCATTGAAGGTGACAGCCAGGACCTGGTAGGTGTTCTGGAATGTCTGGACAGCAGCTTTTTTCCTGATATCCCACAGCTGGAAAGAAACGTGGCACTTGTAAGAGGTGGGCACAGATTATTTAACAATAAAAACACTGCAGAGATACTGCCAGAGATTCAGCCTGTTCCCCTGAAATCCCTTTGTACGTCCCATAAAAAACATCAGATCTGGAGATCTTTATAAGAAACATTTCATCTGTGGTGTTTAGAGCACAGGAATGAAAGGAGGGAAGAAGAGGCCAGCACAGATTTCAGGAGAGGGAAAAAGGAATCAGGACAGGAGATTACAGGAAAAAGAAGAAGGGGCCAGCCCAGATTTCAGGAATAGTTTTTACATGCTTTGCTAAGCCAGAAAGAAACTCTGATTTCTGACTTTCTGACCAGAAAGAATTCCTGGGACACCCCCAGGGATGGGCACTCCAAACCCCCCTGGGCAGCCCCTGCCAATGCCTGAGCAGCCTTTCCATGGGGAAATTCCTGCTGTGCCCACCCTGAGCCTGCCCTGGCCCAGCCTGAGGCCGTTCCCTCTGCTCCTGTCCCTGTTCCCTGGAGCACAGCCCGACCCCCCGGCTGTCCCCTCCTGGCAGGAGTTGTGCAGATCCAGAGCAGCACAAAAATCCCAGCTGAGCAGCCCAACCTTCCCCACCCCCCTGAGAAGTACAGAAACAGAGCAGTGAAATTTGATATCACATTTTTGACTCCGAACTCAGAGTGATAGCATAACGAGTAACAAAAAGCTGGATTCAGCCCAGTTAATTGGGAAGATCCTAAACCTTTTCCACCCTTTCCCCCAGGTTTTGCCCAGGGCACACACTGACCTTGACAGTGCCATCGTCGCTGCCGGTGCAGACGAGCTGGGGGCCCCTCCGGGCAGGGTAGCAGGAGTTGACAAAGGACGTGTGGCCCTTGAGCCTCTTGACCCTCTCGCCCGTCTCGCTGTCCCACACAGCCACGGTTTTGTCCGTGGATGCTGAGAAGAGCATGCTGCAGGCAACAAGCACAGTGAGGGCCCAGCTCCCTTCCCATCTCTCTTTACCAGTGTCCCAGATTGCCAAGCCAGCTGTGTTCCATTTCCCATCTGCATGGCATTGTCTCTGTTCACTGTGCAGTTTTCCTCATCTCTTCCACATTTAAAATTTTTAGCAATTCAGAGGGAGGGGGGTTGCATTTTCCATTCCAGGGGAGGCTCCTGCCTTCCTTAGCAGACACCTGGCTTTCCTGACTAAGAAAACCAGTAACCAGTGGGAGAAGAACCTCCCCCTTTGGTATTTTGGAGGAGCCTGAAACACTGACACTGGAACAGCTGCACACACAAACTCCCCTCAATACCTGCTGGAAATTGTTTTTCTGCCTTCTCAAGCAGCATCTGGGATGAACACAGCTCAGCAAAGCTCAGCAGCAATGGTGGAGCAGCCTTTTAAATTAACCAGTATCTCACTTGTTCTCTTTCCCCCTCCCCAGTGACTCCCAGGCACCCAACACAAACTTCCCTCTGTGCCCCAAAACTGCATCAATGGCACTGGGGGCTCACAGGTGCCCCCAGACCCTCTGCCCACACCACAAGGACTTGGTGTCCATGGACTGAGCAAGGGCAATAATCCCAGAATCACTGAGGTGGGAAAAGAGCTCCAAGAACATCAGATCCAAGCTGTGCCCCATCCCCACCTTGTCCCCAGCTCAGGGCTCTGAGTGCCACATCCAGGGATTCCTGGGACACCCTCAGGGATGGGTACTGCAAACCCCTCTGGGCAGGCCCTGCCAAGGCCTGAGCACCCTTTCCATGGGGAATTCTTCCCAAAAATCCACCCAAACCCTCCCCTGAGGCTTTTCCCTCTCCTCCTGTCCCTGTTCCCTGGAGCACAGCCCGACCCCCCCCGGCTGTCCCCTCCTGTCAGGAGCTGTGCAGAGCCACAAGGTCCCCCCTGAGCCTCCTTTTCTCCAGGCTGAGCCCCTTCCCAGCTCCCCCAGCCTCTCCTGGGGCTGCAGCCCTGTTCCTGAGCAGCAGAGCCCCTGGCCTCACCTGCCATCCGTGTTGTAGTGCAGCTCCATGACAGCCCCGCTGTGTCCCTTCAGGGTGGCAAAGTTGTCACAGTCCCCGTAGACGTTCCAGAGCACTGGGGGACAGCAAGGGACAGGTGAGCACAGGAAGAGCCCGTGCTGTGCATGGAGCTGATCTCTGGGCTTTCAGCAAGTGCAGGATGGATCACCCACTGCTGGGTCGGGCTGGGACAATCCCCAGCAGTGACAAAGCACCAGGTGAGCCCCAGGGCAGAGCAGCTGCAGGGATCTTGGTTAAGGTGAATTTATGAAGAAAAAAATCTTTGCTTCAGCAAGCCTAAGCATTAAAAACTGCACTTCTGCAGAACTTGGAACCCGTGTGACAGGGACACAGGGCTGTCCCAGCTTGCACCAGTGGAAGATAGAGACTGCCCCAGCCACAGGCAGGTTTGATTTGCAGCCTGTGAAGGGGCTTGGATGGATGTGAAAATAAAATCTGTGCACATTAAGTAGAAAAATCATAAACTTATGCTTCTGTATTTATAAATAAGAATATGCCTTAAGTGCCAAACTGTAGTGATAAGGTGGTGAAGGGTTTATAACCTCAGGGTGTAATTGTATAGAGTAAGTGAAGAGTTTAAATGTTATAATAAAAGTATGTGTGTACCTGTCATAACAGCCTATTGGCTAAAAGCACCCACATTGCAGTAAAAGTAAGTAAAGGTGGCAGGTTAGAAAAGCAAAAGATACCCCGTGGTGACTGTCCATAAGGTTAGAGAGATATACACTGCCCTGCAACAAAGAATTGTGACTGTCCTGAGCTATGGCCACTGACTGCTGTCTCAAAATCCCACAACCTCTGGGGCTGATGTTTATTTAAACAATAAATTGTCTTTAACCCAGTTTTAGTCCCATCCCTTCAACTGATGTAGCAACAGCACCAGCAAGGCACATTTCCAGCCCCACCAGGATGGCACCTGCCTGAGGAGCTGGGAAAGGCTTCCTGGGGAAGCAGCTCACACCAGGAGCCAGCCAGGTGAGGGCTGAGCTAAACCCCCCAGCAGCAGGGCCTGAGCCTGGGGGACAGCAGGGGACAGCAGTGCCACTCACAGATGAGCCTGTCGAAGCCAGCTGAGGCCAGGGTGTTGCCATTGGGGTGGAACTTGCAGCAGTACACCTCCCCCTCGTGTCCTGACAGCAGCATGATGGGGGCCTGCAGCGAGGAGCAGCGCGGGGGGCCCTGGGGACACAGGGGACACCGTCAGGGGACAAGGGCAGGGGATGGCCGGCCTGGCACCCCTGCTGGGCACATTCACCTTCCCACAGCACATCCCACCAGAATTCCAGAATCCCAGCATTACTGAGGCTTGAAAAGAGCTCCAAGGACATTGAGTCCCAGCTGATCCCCACCTTGTCCCCAGCCCAGAGCTCTGAGTGACACATCCAGGAATTCCTGGGACACCCCCAGGGATGGGCACCCCAAAACCCCCTGGGCAGTTCCTGCCAAGGCCTGAGCACCCTTTCCATGGGGAAATCCCTGCTGTGCCCACCCTGAGCCTGCCCTGGCCCAGCCTGAGGCCGTTCCCTCTGCTCCTGTCCCTGTTCCCTGGAGCACAGCCCGACCCCCCCGGCTGTCCCCTCCTGTCAGGAGCTGTGCAGAGCCACAAGGTCCCCCCTGAGCCTCCTTTTCTCCAGGCTGAGCCCCTTCCCAGCTCCCCCAGCCTCTCCTGGGGCTCCATTCCCATCCCAGCCCATCCGCTCCAGCCCCTCCGCACCGAGGGGCCCCGACCCGCCCGCAGCACCGGCGGTGCCTCAGCAGTGCCCAGCCCCAACACCCTCACGGCCATTCCCTCCCTCCGGAGCCACCCCCGGCCCTCTCCCCTCTCCCCTCCATCCCGCCCGCCTCTCCTCCCAGCTCCCCTCACGCTGCCCCGTTACCGCCTGCAGCAGAGCTCCGGCCGCGGGCTGCCCCCCCGCGCCGCCCGTGCCCGGCGCCCCCGGCAGGTCATGGCGGGGCCGCTTGGCGGGCACGGGCACGAGCGGGAGGTCGGGGCCGGGCGCGGGGGCGGCGCC